GGTATGGATGTAATCTCTAGAGACGTAAGAATATTCTTCATTCAGAAGAGCCAACCATTCAAACAATGCCAACCATTTTCTTTAATTAAGAGGGAATTATTTGCAGTGAACTTATCCGAAAAGATTGGATGGTGAACGCAGGATATTATTTATGAGTTTTACAATAAGCTCGGTTGAGAACACGATATATTTAGATGTCAATAGCTAGATAGTAGGCTTTCATTGCACTATAATGTACTATGTTTTGTAAATTCTTGACCAATTATCAAATGTATTAACCTGATGTGATTGATAAAAATTAATCGAGTCGAAACCATTCTGGTAATCTAAATGGCTTTAGTAGACATACATAAAGTACTTCCGACCTATGAGTATAAAAGTGTTAGGAAGCATTATGTTGTACATGTCCAGTACTGCATTTTTCTTCTAGGCTGCACATATTTTATATTATTTATAAATGATAGTGAGAAAAATTTAATAAGTTATGATATTATGTATCTTGTAAGGATGGAAATTTTGTAATAATTTCCAACCTACATAAATTTAGTAACACCACCACTTTGAACAAAATACGTGAAGTAATCTGTAATTAGGAGAAAACATTTCAATAATAAATACAAAAGGTATATAAATAAAAATAACCATATAACATACCTTCATTATTTTTCCACATAAATTTATTTAAATTAATAAATAATAATTTATTTATAAATTATTTATTATTTTATTTATAAATAATTCGACTATAAAATAAAACCACGAGCACCGCCGCTTTTTATAAAAATGTAAACAAACATTTACAAACGTCAAAAATGTCAGAATGCAATTCGCTGCAAAAAGATGCACAAGGGAGCTTTTGTGCAAAAGTGTTAAATGCAGTAAGTTCAACTAAGATCAACTCTAAGCTTTGTGTACTTTACACAAAAAGTTCAAGAGAAATGCATATAAAATAAGGCGCAATTTTCTAAGAATTTAGTGAGTCTTGTATGATCACTCGGTGGCATTGTATGTCAAAATATAAAATAAATAAATATAAAAAATATTGTCTGACACAGTGGCGGTTTTAAGCCTAGTTGTATAAATTACTAAAATATATATATAATTGTGTACAAGTGCATGGGCGGTTTTAAGTCAAGACACTTGGACACTATTGTATAGATATTCTATAACCGAACAAGGAAATATATTTTTTTATATATACACTAACCCCTCTGTCCCACACAGGTACGCATTGAGCAAGTAATTATACGAAGATACAAACCACGGAACCAGATTAGAGATCACCGAGCTCCAAAGGAACAACCTCCAGATACAGCAGAATACCAGGAAATAATCTCAAGTTTCTCAAGTTTAAGCACGTTTAATGAATTTACTTTGTTTTTTTAAAATACTATGTCATTGAATTGTACACATTAGTAATCTCAAGTTTACATAATTACGTTTAACTAAATTCCTTTTTTTTTTAAATACTATTTTCATGAATTAATAATATTTTAAATAAATCTACATTTAAAATTTAACACACAATCTTTTATTTGAGAAGTCCTGTCTCCGCGAATATAAATTTATTGTAGCGACCCCCTGGAAAAGACTGAGGATACCCCAGCATAAATTATAACGAAACGGGAAAATCCGTGTCGTTACAATTGGCGCCCGAGCAGGGACAGACAGACTTCTCAAACTTAAAACGAAGTAATATCCACGTTACAATGGCACAGGCAAACATGATTATAAGATAAAATCTAGATACTCTCGCTCATAGTTCAATTCAAGCCAGTTCAACAGAGAAACATACAAGACGTTCGCATAAGCAGCACATCATGGCCTTATCGTATGCTCAAAGCGTGGAGCGGATACGAAAATGGTCTGTAAAGTACAATGGAGGAATAGATCCAATAGATTTTGTGGAAAGTATAGAAGAGGTAGCAGACCTTGACGACATCAACGTGAATTTAGTTCCCAGGATGATGCCCATACTGCTTGAAGACAAAGCACTGATGTGGTACCGCAACAACAATAAGCATTGGAACCTTTGGTCAAGCTTCAAGATGGACTTTCTAAAATTTTTCCTTTCACATAGGTATTTCGACAGATTAGAAGACGAGGTGCGAGCACGAGTTCAGAAGGAACATGAAAGTTTTAAAGATTATGTACTGGAAATCAAATATCTTATGCGACACACAGGCATGAACCAAGATTCGCAATTGGAGCGAATATACCGAAATATGCGCACAGAGTACCAAATGTACATCAAACGTCGAGACTTTTCGAGTTTAACAGAATTAACAATACTAGCAGATGACTTCGAAGAACTTCGCGCAGAACAGGATAAAGCGAGTCGAGGCAGTGTTCGACAGGAAGTGATAGTTCGTCGCATAGAAGTTGAACATCCACAAATGATGGTATTAAAAAATACAGTGAGACACGTACCTACCACGCCGATACAGGACAAAGTTATTTCCAGTTCAAATTCAGAGTCACCTATTCTCAACCAGCAGAGAAGTAATCAGCAACGCAACCAGCCGACAGCTAAGCAAGTAACTGCACGAATCATACAAGATCAAGATATATTTCAAAATCAAATGTACCCAGTATCAACTCAGCAGAATATCCAACATGTCATGCCAGTTAAAGAAAATCTAAAATTATTCAATCGGAACCAAGTCGCAGAAGTTCAACAAATGCTGCAAATCCAACCATGCGAACCAAAGCAAGAATCACAAACTATTAGGTCCATCAGAGGAAATTCCCAGATACAAGAAACACAACGACAAGTAAATCCAAAACTTACAAAGAAGAATCCCGAAGTATTTAAGCCAGCACGAGTTACACCAGATCAGGAAATATTTCAAAGTCAAACGAAGCAAGTATCAGTACACCAAACACCGCAACATGTCACGTCGTTCAAAGAAAACTTAAAAGCGTTTAACCAAGACCAAGCCACAGAATTTAAACGAATGCTCCACATCCAAGCGTGCAAACCACAGCAAGATTCAAGACCCAACAAGCAAAATCCCAAAGTATATAAACAACAGCAAGTCATTCCAAATCATCAAATATTACAAGTTCAAACACAGAAAGTACAACGACAGAAAGAATCAAGCGTAATCAAAGCGCAAAAACAAAAGATTCAACGGCACAAAGATCCAAGTCCTAGCAAGAAAAATTCACAGGTAGGTAATCAACCAGAAAGAATCAATCCAGCGAGGAATCACCATATAACACAAGTTAAAATTCAAGATACACAAGGATACGTAGAACAACAGCAAGTTCAAGATAATGAAACACAAAAAGGTCAACGAAAGGTTACTGTAATCGAAGATCATACCAGACGAGTTCGATTGACTCAAGAAAGCCCAAGTCCGACACAATCATGGCAACAAGTTTTAATTAAACACGATAGTCAACGAAAGCAAGAGTCACAAGAAGGAAAAGATGATTCCACACGTCCAAAGGATAAGATAGACAATCCTCTGATACAAGTACAGGAAATAAGTCTAGGAATTCCAAAACTATTCAGCACCCAAAAACTGCAGAAGCCGATGAATAACTTAGGTGTACTTCAGCAGAAGGACTATGATCTTGTTAGCATACACCAAGATAAATTTTTCAAAATATTCAAGAGCCCAAAGAAACGGCACAGAAATCATGCAGGCAGATAGTGGAAAATTAATTTTCCTCGGAGAAGGAGGGAAATGTAAGGATGGAAATTTTGTAATAATTTCCAACCTACATAAATTTAGTAACACCACCACTTTGAACAAAATACGTGAAGTAATCTGTAATTAGGAGAAAACATTTCAATAATAAATACAAAAGGTATATAAATAAAAATAACCATATAACATACCTTCATTATTTTTCCACATAAATTTATTTAAATTAATAAATAATAATTTATTTATAAATTATTTATTATTTTATTTATAAATAATTCGACTATAAAATAAAACCACGAGCACCGCCGCTTTTTATAAAAATGTAAACAAACATTTACAAACGTCAAAAATGTCAGAATGCAATTCGCTGCAAAAAGATGCACAAGGGAGCTTTTGTGCAAAAGTGTTAAATGCAGTAAGTTCAACTAAGATCAACTCTAAGCTTTGTGTACTTTACACAAAAAGTTCAAGAGAAATGCATATAAAATAAGGCGCAATTTTCTAAGAATTTAGTGAGTCTTGTATGATCACTCGGTGGCATTGTATGTCAAAATATAAAATAAATAAATATAAAAAATATTGTCTGACACAGTGGCGGTTTTAAGCCGAGTTGTATAAATTACTAAAATATATATATAATTGTGTACAAGTGCATGGGCGGTTTTAAGTCAAGACACTTGGACACTATTGTATAGATATTCTATAACCGAACAAGGAAATATATTTTTTTATATATACACTAACCCTTCTGTCCCACACAGGTACGCATTGAGCAAGTAATCATACGAAGATACAAACCACGGAACCAGATTAGAGATCACCGAGCTCCAAAGGAACAACCTCCAGATACAGCAGAATACCAGGAAATAATCTCAAGTTTCTCAAGTTTAAGCACGTTTAATGAATTTACTTTGTTTTTTTAAAATACTATGTCATTGAATTGTACACATTAGTAATCTCAAGTTTACATAATTACGTTTAACTAAATTCCTTTTTTTTTTAAATACTATTTTCATGAATTAATAATATTTTAAATAAATCTACATTTAAAATTTAACACACAATCTTTTATTTGAGAAGTCCTGTCTCCGCGAATATAAATTTATTGTAGCGACCCCCTGGAAAAGACTGAGAATACCCCAGCATAAATTATAACGAAACGGGAAAATCCGTGTCGTTACAATCTTAATACATAAACAATTAAAAGTAATATTGGAAAAGTACACCATTTTGATTTTTTATTAAAACTTTATTGTAATATAAATAAAAAAAAATAACTTTTAATTTTAATGCAGTAAAGACCTCGACGATAAACTAATAAAAAAGTCAAAACAAATAAATAAAAATAGAAACTAGAACAACAATTAAAATATATAATATCAATCAGTTTCTAAAAATAAATTCTGCAGATTTAGCTCAATCTCCTCCATTTCGTCTAGTGGACGTAAAATCAAAAGCATTTTCTCGACAGATTTGCCTCTCAAGACTTCAGCCATAGCTTTGCATGATAATTTTGACAGTTCACTTATATCCAGAAAATCTGCAGCCAGGATAACTTTACGCAAACAATTTAAGTCGTCACATCCTGCGATTTTCATACTTTTTATGGCTTTGTTTCTTTCCGGTTTTTCACTTATTAAACATTTCACGTAAAACCATTTCTTTATGATACCGAAGGTCTCCGTATCTATATTATACAAATGCAATTCATGGTTATTGTCATCCGTCAACCACATGCAATCACTAACGACTTCGCTCGTTTGTATATACTTTCTTTCGATTTCTATTACTCCATCGGTCAGTCTAACTGTTATTTCCTCATTATCGTCATTGTCCTCATTGTCCTTGTTGGCGATATGGCGTTGCTAAAACACAAAAAAAAATTAAAAAATACAATTTCGTTAAGAAAGAAAATTACTGGAAAGGTAGAATCCATGGTGCTATCCATTTTGAATTGTGCGTTTAAAACCAAAGAGATTAAAGAGATGAAAGAGAGCGGAAACAATTTTTGTGTGCAGTAAAGATTGTAAAGTAAAGAGAAGAATTGAACTTATTTTTATTTATTTGATTATATAGCTTTTAAGCAAGTTTTTAAAAAAAGTTTTTAAAAAAAACTGACATGAAAATCAAATCAGCATTAAATATTTTTAAATTTATAATCATAATAGTCCACTTCTGGACTCTCAGGAAAATATGCTGATTTGAGGTCCATCATCAACTAAAAGACAAATGCTTATGATTTCTTAGCCTAGTTAATGCCTAGTGTGGGGTAGAGATAAGCCCCTCAGCCATTATAGAGTAAAATTGTGTAAGAGCACTAACTCAAGAAGAAGAATCAAGAAGAGTAAATGATATGTATATCATTTTTACTTAATATGGGGTTAAACCATGAAATCCAGAATATATAAAAAATCCAATTCTGTTGGAAACCACTCTTTTGTTATTGTCTCTTATTTTGATGCAAGCTCATCGCGGATAAAGCAATGTCCAGAACTCATGTTGTACTAACTGAAATACTCAATATGTTGCAGAGTAAGTCACATTCGACTGTTTTTTTTTTTGTTTTGTTCACTGTTAGCAAATTATGGTGTTAGCTGTCTTTTATGCCCAAAACTTAAAATTTTTCATATATATAACACATTATTTTAAAAAGAAGTTTAATTATTACTCGATGTTCAATTTCAAAGTTGTCTTAACTTATAATACCGGCGATCGTAATGATTCACTTCGGCCCTTTATATTAATCGATTGGACATATTCTTTTTTGTAGTGCTCAGAAATTGGATGTCATAATGGTACATATAAACATTGCTGTTATATATTAACTATATAATGAAACATTACCAGTATGTATAGACAGCTATTGCTGAAGAGCTGCTGTTCTGTTTCGTACATTATTTGATAGAATCTAGTCAAGAAGTCTGATGCCTTAGATTTCAACAATGTCTTCTTAATAGATAAATTTAACGTCTAGAAATGTGAATAATACAACATCATAGTGACAATTGCGCTAGATAAAGTAAGGATTTTGATAACAAACGATTTTTCTATTTTATGGCTCATGATTTTAAAAATGTTCTAACTGTTAAAGGATGTATTTGAAAGAATCTATCACATCCTTCATATATAAGTGAAATGAACTATGAAATAAGTGATGAAGTTCACAAACAACTGCACCGCATGAGATGGGAAACTGACATTAAAACATATACAAGTACAAATAATTACAGTAAGGATAAAGGAGAAAACATTTATTGCGGTCATAAATCAAAAAGTCACAGGACGATAATCGGAAGTATTACCGTATGCCAGAATTTCGAGTCTTGTATTTATGAAGCTACAAATTGTGTTCGGCATTTTAGTGCAGCTAATAAGTTTGTACATGAAAAAAAAAGTAATAACAAAATTATATTTTGCTATATTATTATAAATATTTATTAATTATAATAGTTTAATAATTATTTAGAGAACAAGTGTCAAGCATTGTATTTCTTTATAATAAATTATAATTTAATTCTAATAATATGAGATTTAAATAAAATGTAATATATATATGGGAACGAATGTACTTTCTGCGCGCAAGTTTTGCATTGCGGATTTGTCAACAAAAACCGCTTAAATTGAACAAAATATCGAAAGAAATAAACGAATTCTTTGAAGCGGATACTATATATCTCTGGGAAAATCATCAAAAAGGAATTGGGATATCTGAAAGCATTGTTTGTCATATTTTAGCCATAGATTTGGACAAACAGGAGGTCTTCGCACTATATACTAACAGATGATAGAAAAAAATGGAGAGTTAAAGTACATGTTGAAAATGTCCAAAACGAATCCATGAAACATAGTACTCATTGTAGCTAGTTTTTTTAATACCAATCTTAAAGAAAATGTTATGGTGCTGTATAAAAGTTACCTGAGGAGTCAAAAGAGAGAAAATTAGGTTTTGGAAGAGTCAAATAAAAATAATATATATAATTTTCTACTTATCGTGATTATATTTAACATTTAAATTCTGTACACATTTTCAGTAAATTTTTTGCTAATCCTTAAAACTAGTACCATTAGGTAATTTTAGGAAACTGTCAAGAAAATCAATCAGATAATAGAATACCTTTTTAACAATTTACTTTCACATTGAATTATATTTACGCTTCTTATATTCAATTATGTTATATGTACTGTAATTGATAGTTCGATGTGACTGATTCTTTTTATGTTTTATGTTTTGTTACTTTTTAATTGACATTAAAACTCATTCACTACTCACTCACCCGACTTACACTGCGACATTTTTTACAACTTATTGAGCTAATAAAATGAAATACCAAGCAACAACAACAACAGCAGAAGCAATAAAGTAGCATTGATATGCTATACTACAGCATGTCGCAAGGCCCTCACTTAATGCACACGTAAAGTAGCCCACGCGTGCCTGAATATATTTAATGCATACCTATTCGGAAAAAGTGGGAAAATTCAAGGGATGCTCATTCAAACAATAAAAACATTTTTCCATTTAACACGATTCTAGCCCTTTTTTGTTAAATATTGTGTTAGTTCAAAAAAAAAAAATAATATAATTTAACAAATGTATGGAAACCGCATGTGCAGCAGTACCAGTAGCATTCGGAGTCATGACTGAGAGCTGTACTCTAGGACATTCATTCAATAACATGTACCATACACAAAGGAAGGAAATACAATTGGGAAGGAAACTTTTAGTTTACAAAACCAACGCCTATTCTTCGATTATGTATTTGCGACACTTGACAGCTTAGCGCCTTGAAGTTGTTGTCGATTTTAGCAAATTTTAAATGACATTTATATGTCTACCCTCGTAGTTATATACTTCTTATTTATCCAAACTGACGGTGCAAATATTCCTTAAAAATCTTTTTTTGCTTGAGCAGCATTGCTATATGTTTTTAAGAAGGGAGAGAAGAGAACATTTTTGATATTGGAGTCAAGCGTTAAACTAAGCCTTTACGGACGGTATGGAGTTTTACACCACCGATCTGTAAGTTATAGTTGGACATTGACGGTTCAAGCGTGGTTGGTTCATGCTTATGCGATGTATTCGACACACGTTGCATTTTATGTGTGTAGAGTAGTTTAATTGCATTTAAATTATTTTCTTAAAATTTATTGCATTCGGGTATTACGAAAACTCTAAATAATTGCAAGCATATGAAATTTGACGTTTTTTGGTTTACTTATTATTATTAAATATCTAGTTAGATTGGATAGATACTAGAAAATTATATACTAGAAGGTGCCGGTAAATTATTTGATTTAAAGGAACTACAATTCTCACCATTACCCAAATATATTTTAATCAGTGGTGGTGTGGGTGGACGATTAGGAAATAGTTACCTCTCTCAATACTATAATCTGCAAATAACATATCACAAAAATACTGCTAGAAAATTATTTCCTAGGCACAATTCTTATGTATTCCGCCTTGGCACAAGGGGAATACGTCACTGGTGTTAATCCTAACATATTTATTAAGTTTAATATCTGGTAAAGATCAAGACTATACCAATATACGAAACTTTAACTCTTGAACAATATAATTAGATAGATTGGAATTTTCGTCTGTTGTGAAATTTAAGATCATCACATCACATATATACCATACATAAGAGTTGTAAGATATTTCAAAAGTATGAGGTTATTTTCATTGAAATTAATACTTGTCAGTTTAAATACTGTATCTCATCTTTCAGTTGCTTTCGACACCAATCAGTATGTGCGAGAAAGTGTTTATGAAAGTATTTCTAATTGAATTCCATAAAAATTCACTCCGGAAGCAGCAGAAAGTACACATCTGTGCATTTGTAAATAGATACTTTAATTTGAGTGAAAAAATTTGGCTGATGGAAAAATTGGTAGTTGCGAACAATAAAAAAATTTATTCGAACGCACATACGCGTCGAAATGGTAATCAAACTAATGTTTCCAAAGTGTGTTCACACGTCTCTGTCTGCCGTTTTGAAGAAGTGCTCAATATGTAAAGCCAACCGCGATTTTCACAACTCGCATGAAGACTTCCTCATGCACATGCCCAACCAACAGGGCATGTCATGTTGGCACTTGTTTGGAGTGAGGTGACAGACTTACTGACAGTAGAGCAAATGCAGTGGCTCATTTGGAAAACTCGCGCTGCATGAATGATTCAAGTTTCGATTGATTGCTCCCTGGAGGCAGTAGAGAGTCGCTCTCGCTTAATGGTGGTGTATACTATGGTATAATATGTTCATAAGCCGTGTGCTGCTGTTGGATGTACTGCACACGAAAAGGGCAATTCGATATTAACTCACCACCCTTTTGTCACTTGATGCAAAAACAGTATTTGCCTCACATTTAAAGAATACCGAAATGATAAACTAGTTAAAAGCAAAAACATTTGTACAAAAAAAAAGTCTATCTAGATACTCTGAAAATAAAAAAACTAAATGAGTTCAAGTTTTTAATGCACATGGATAAGAAATCGTTAAAAATAAATATAAAAATAAAAATAAAAAACTAGTAAAAGTCCCTTGATAATTGTCAATGTTGGCGACCCTCATTTTTAAGGAAGGATTTTATTTGTCAAGGAACAACGAAGTATACAAATGCAGCAGAGCACAGAAACGAGGTAGTGCTTATCTAAAACTGCATTTTCATGGGTGCTGATAATATATTATAGATATAATAGTAGTTGGGGTTGAAAATCTCCGGAGGGTTCCTTAATGTTGCGTTCAATTTTTTATGAGCGAATGTAGTAATTATCTTGACTGTTAATATTTTTGTGAATTTACTGATAAACTGCAGTTGGCACTCGAACGATGTGGGTGCACAGCGTCTGGGACTTTACATACCGCTTAATCACAATCTTACATAAATAAGCCGCTTAACATCGATTTAGGCTTAGAGAACACTCAACAGCATATTTTTAGTATTGACTTTGATAAACGGTGCTTTCTATATATATATATATACACCCAGTAAACGCAATCAAATACAGATAGAACAGCAAATCACTACATGTTAAAGGGATATTGGAATTTATAAAAT